ATGCAATTGTTGGCAAGACACAAGAGCTAAAGTGGGAGATTCAACAGGAAGCTACTGGAGTAACCTAGGCATGAGGTGATGCCAGCAGCCCAGAAGAAAGCAGTGGCCAGATTCTTGGCATATTTTGAAGTTAAAGGTGATGGCATTGCTATCAACTGTGTAAATAAAGGAGAAAGAAAGAATAGGTTCATGGGGCAAAATCAGTAGCCCAATTTTAAACATGTTAAATGTAGGACAGTCATTAGATAACAAAGCAGATAGATACTTGGATGTTTGAATGAGGCTTGCATTTCTCAAAGACTGTATGCTTTTATAAGTAGTCTCACAATAAGAGATTTTAAATTAATATTTGATAGGTCACATGAATGTGTGACATTTGTCTATGGAAATGTTTCAAGATCTGTGCATAGTTTTATATTGTTGCATCATAGGTTGATTAATATTAAACCTACTGACATTACACAGACATGCCCAACTAAGTCTAAGTTATTAGCAATCTGATTGTTTAGTGTCTTTTTTTTTTTTTTTTTTTTTTTGGGGGGTCTTTTTGAGACAGGGTCTCCCTGTACCCTAGTCCCAGCCCACTTGGAAGTTACTATGTAGACCAGACTGGCTTTGTTCTTACAGAGATCCACCTGCTTCTACCTCCCAAGGGCAGGGATTAAAGCATTGTGCCACCGTACTCAGTGTTATTTAGTATCTTATTCTTAGTTTTTCCAAAAGGCTTGATTAGGACTGCAGCTGATATAAAATATTAATTAATAGCAAGTGCACTGAAGTCAGATTCATGATCTGTATCGGATATTTGCACAAAACGTTCCTCATGTGCTGATTTCAGGAAATCTTTCTTTATAATTATAAATTTATCATACTTTCGAGGTCTTTGTTCTACATCTAGAGATAGATTTTTCTCTCATCATGTTTGGAGGAAGCTGACAGCCAGACCTTGTGTTTTAGTGCACTTGAATGCATTCCTGATTTAAAAGAGGGGAGTTCAAAGATGTGTGACACGGCTGAAACATCCGTGAAGGTTAGTTCTTTAGAAAATTTTAATTTGATGGAGGAACAATGTTGCTAATCTTCCCATCTCTAAATTTACGGACTCTGTAAAGTCGACATGCATAAACCATAGTGTGTTTTACAGCACTGAAAAGGTTGCTGTGCTGCTGGGAGCTGCCAGAGGCTGGACTTGTTTTCTCTTGTACCGTCTACACCAGGGCTTCTTTCCCTCGCTCTCTCCTGTGGCAATGACATTAACATGATAAAATCTCTCATCATTTCTTTCTTTCTTTTTCTTTTTTTTTTCCTTTGGTCATTTTGAGACAGGGTCTCCCTGTAGCTCCAACTGGCCTGGAACTCACTCTGTAGACCAGACTGGCCTTGAACTAGGGGAGATCCGCCTGCCTCTGCCTCCCAAGTGCTGGGATTAAAGGCTCGCCACGCCGGGCTTCTCTCATCATCTCTTAGTTCTTTGGTCCCCTCCTCCCAGCAACAGCCAGGCTGCTCCCCTTCAGGCGTGCCTTCTTCTGTCTTCCAGGCGTCTGCTCTTCCCATCTCTCTAACCACTTCTCTTTCCCCCTTGCTGGATCCTCTTATCTTCTTGATTTCGAAATACTTCCTTTCACCGGAATCTAATTCTTGGCCCTCTTTTCTGTGTGTTCTGTAGCAATTTCCTCCAATTGGAAACATTCCATCTTAGAAGGAGGCGCCTTAAGACTCAGGAAGGAAACAACTCCTCAGGAACTTCCTGAAATTTTCAAGATTCCTAAGGCTCCACCTTCCCCAAGGTTATATAAACAGAAAAGATTGCTGGGAAGAGGAGACTCTCTCCCTACCTGATCTGTCAAGCCTCCTGAAAGTTGTGCAAAGAACTCCAGGATTACAGCTTTTGTGTCACTCATGTCTCTCCAGTGATGCAGCTGTTTTTGAGTTGTCCGTGTTCCTGTAAGTAACCCAATAAACTCATTGCTTTTCCAAGTAAGACTTTGGTGGAATCATTTCTTGGGACTGTCATGGGTGCACTACATGGGACGAGTAGATGTTTGTTCTCATCTCCTCCAGAAAACAATAAGCGCTCCCAAGGTGACCCCATCCAGACCCATGGCTTTAAATATCACCAATATGTTGATAAGTCCCAAGTTCATTTGTCAGCACACATCTTTCTCCTAAATTGTAGACATGTATGATAACTTCTTTGTACCCCTATTTCTTAAGTGTCAAGTGGGCATAAAACTTGTACCTATCTCATAATGTTTTTGGTATATAGTCTATTTGTGCTGACAACTCTGCTTTTCACCCTACTCCACATGCTCCAGGGAAATGGACTATGTGCTCTGCATGAAAGAGTTAGTTGTCTTCTGATTTAGTTTAAAGTCACCATCAAGAGGTAGGATGGAGCAAAGAAATGGTACTCTAGTAGTTAACTTTCTGAACTTTCTCCTTATCAGGCACCAGGCACCAGATGGCTTCCTCTGCTAAGGGCCACATACCCCCGGACCTCTATCTTCTATAGCCGTCCATCTTGGTCCTGTCAGTATCTGCTTTCTCTTCACTCCTTTCTGGCAGCCCCGGTGGTGTAGCTCTGGAAGGGGCGTGAGGAACGTCAGTACTTTGTTGGATTCCTTTAATCATGCTCACATTTTTGTGTAGTCCCTTCATTAAACTCTATTAATCATTTAGCTAGAGCGTGCAATTTGTTTCTTGCCGAGAGTTCATCAATTGAGGATTGTTGTAGTGACTAACTGAACTAATATTTGTTATATGCTTAGAGCAATGTCTGGTATACAAGTGCTATAGAAGTGTTTGTAAAGTAGACAAACTGCCCAGATGAGCTCTCCATTTGGGAGTTTAGAATTAACTTTTCAAATTCCCCATCCTTCTTGTTTCAGGGTTCTCCAGAGAAATTGAACCAACAAGATGGGTGCATATACGTGAAGGCAAAGGCAGTTGGTTTTGCTGACACATTAGGTGTGAAGTATGAAAGAAAGAGAACCGTACCAGTGGGATACATGTGAGAGAAGTGAATGGTGTGTGCAGTTATGGGGGCTGGCAAGTCCACAAACTGCAGGGTGGGTCATCAGTCTAGAGACCCAGGAAAGTTGATGCTGTGGTTTCTGTCTCAAGTCCATTTGCATTAGAACCCAAAAGAGCCAGTGTTGTAGATGAAGTCTGAAGGTAGGCTGCTAGAGAATGCTTTTTGGCCTATTCAGATCATGATGTGATTGTCTGAGGCCCACTCACATATGGAGGGCAATCTACTTTATTCAAAGCCCACCTACTTACTTACATGTTAATCTCACTCCAAACAACCTCATTTAGAATGTTTGATTAATTATTTGGGTACCCCACGGTCCAGTCAAGTTGACACAAATGTAATAAGTGTAAACTTACTAAATTTAAGAGGTGTAAACTTTTCAATTCTCCACTCTCCTCTGTTTCCTCACCTTTAACGGCCCTTGGGTTCACTGTTTTTTGCTCAAGGTAAAATCCTTGCAATCATTCAGAACTTTTCTTTTTTGTGTGTGTTCTCATCTATATAACTCAATGTCTTTCTAGAACTCAACCTCTACCTACCATCTCTTCCCCTGCCTCTACCTCAAGCCACTGTCATTTCTCATAGAGGATTACAGCCCTGGACTTCTGTCTGCTGCCGAAGTCTTGACTCTCCTAGAGACAATTTTCAGTGGACCAGTCTGAGTGAATGTTTCGAATTTTTTTTTTAATTAGCTTATCAAGTATCAGGTTTGTTTATGGCTTTTTCATATATCATTGATTTGGGTTGACCCTCCCTGATCCTATCTTCTCTCCCCATTTCCCTGCCTCGCCAACCCTACTCTGAGTGAGTCTTTTAAAATAGAGATCATTTCATTTCCCTATCACCCAGTAAAATCCTAGGTCCCTACAAGCTGCAAAGCTTGAGAAGATGCAGCCTGGGCTCCCTGTCCATACTGGTTTCCTGCCTCTCTTCTTGTTTATTTCATGCAGATACATTGCTGCTTCTTGCATATTCCCACCCTGAAGCCTCTACACTCGCTCTTCTTTCTGACTGGGAAGCACAGAGCCCGCATTCTAATATGTCTCATAACACACTTCACTGAGATCACCTCCTAAATGTTAGCACCTCACAGAGATTTCCCCAGCAACCCCAACCAATGGAGAATGCTCTACTGCCTGCCACCCCTCATCCTCCTTTATTTTCCTTCTTGGCATTTATCCCAAAGTGAAAATATGTTTACTTTTAGACCAGCTCCAAAATCCCAGGCCTGGAATTGTGTCCACTGTGCAATAGACACTCAGTAAATACGAAATCTATGAGCAAATTTGCATGTGTATGTCTTCCTAAGGCTCCAAAGTAGTAATACTTATGTTTGTGTGCATATTCCTTCATATGGGTTCATAGCATGCCCTCCTTGCCCAGCCTTGCTTCCTGACTCACAGAGCAGGAATGCTTAGTTCTTGAAGGTCCTGATGCCTATTTAAAGGATGAGTGCCTGGGGAAGGGATACTGTATACACTTCATTTCCTCACGAAGATCTTGGAATCCTGTCTTTGAAAAAGATGTTCATTTTATAAGGATCTGCATTTTGCTGCCAAAGCTAACCAGCAACAATATGAATATACCATCTTTAAAGTTCTTGCCAGACCTGAAAAACTACTGTGGAAATTTGTGGCTTTAGGGTTTACAAGTGCATCTATGGCAATTTGATTGGTTTTTGTCCTCCAAATCCAGTCACCATGGGAGAAGATTATCTTGAATCAATGACATAAAGCCTTTTCATGTTCTGTGAATACTGTTATGTGAATATGGTACTCCCTGCCCCTTCCCCCACCCTATGATCTGGATTTGGTATCTCAGTGAAAATTTAGGAACAATATGCAAATGCATATGATTTCTTACATAAGGTTTTCTCTGGAGAGAGACTACATATAATGGACTTTAAAGACAAATACTCTTATTTCAGCTTTGAAATAATGCCATAATTCATCACGTACCCCAAATCATATTTTTATAATGTGTTTATTTGTGTACAAAATATGTTGTAATTTGTTGATGCATGTGCAGCAAAATATTCTATCACATACAACAAAAATACATCTTTGATTCCCTTTCTCCTGCCTTTGAAAATGGCAACACTGTTTTGGCATTTCAGCAGCTAAAAATAAAGTGCTATTATTAAGCAGTATTGGAATGTCTTCACTTGACAAATGTGATGTACGATTTGAGTATACAACCACATCTTTTTGTTAGTTTTTCACAGAACAGGAAGCTCCACATCCTGAACACCTTCAGAAGATACAAATATTTGTATATATATGTACACATGTATACACTGTATATGTAAAGTGCCAACAAGCCTCTTTGTCTATGTGAGTTTGCTGCATTTATGTCTAGTCCCTCCTTTTCCCCCAAAGTCAGATTCACACCATTGGGATTTCAGAGTTTATCAGCAGGCACCAAGCAGCGCACCAAAGGCTGGCTCGTTGGGGATGTGGTGTTGGTGAGGGGACACGAAGCAAGCCCTTCAGACCTCACTGGGGGACCTGGAGCGGAAGGGCACTTTGGACTGGAAACAGCCACAGAACAGGAGCCACAAGGCACGCTGGATCTCCTGGTTTCGGAAGGCATAGATAATGGGATTGATCATGGAGTTATAGGTGGCGGGCAGCAGGGTGGCGTAGGTGTAGATGGCTGGGTCCTCATGGCTACCCACCACACAATAGATGGCGAAGGGCAGCCAGCTGGCCCCAAAGGTGCCTAGCACCACGGCCAGAGTTCCCACGCCCTTCCTGGTGGCGGCGAGATGGGGCGGCGCCAGGCAGTGTTGCTGCAGCGCGATCTGGTGAGCATGGCGCCAGACCACCTTGCAGATCCGCACGTACAGGTGTAGCATGATGCCGAAGACCACAAAGAAGGAAGTGGAGAGCAGCGCCACGTGGCTGCGTGTCAGCGGGCGCACCACACTGCAGGACGAGCGCTGGGCCAAGCAGTTCCAGCCCAGCACCGGCAGCAACCCCAATCCTAAGGACACTGTCCAGGTGGCGGCCAGCAGGAGGTGCACGCCCAACAGGGTCCGGCGCGAGTAGTAGGTGAGCGCGTTGTAGAGGGACAGGTAACGGTCCACCGTGATGGCTAGCAGGCTGCTGACCGAGGCGGCGAAGGAGGCCACCAGGAAGCCCACGGTGAGCAGGCTCACAGTCTCCGAAGGCAGCACGTACTGGAACACGAAGTGCAGGATGAGGCCACAGCCCGCCAGCAGGTCGGCGGTGGCCAGACTACCTACGAGCACGAACATGGGCGTGCGCAGTGCGGGAGTGGACGCGATGAGCGCCACCACCAGCGCGTTTTCGCCCGCGATCACTGTCCCGGACACGCAGAGCAGCACATCCCAGGGATTCACTGCCGACAGCAGCAGTCCGGATGGCCCCGCCGGCAACTGCGAAGACAGCTCCAGTGACCCGTTAGGTCCTCCACCGCCTCCCAGGGCCGCGGCTGCTGCAGGCGGTCCCCATTCACCGGTGTCCGGGGCCCCTGCTGCTGTGGCCGCCGCCGCCGCGCCCTCGGCCGCCACGGCCACCACCTGGGACTCGTTGAGCGAGGCGGCGCTCGCGTTCATGCCGCCAGATGCTGCACCCTGCACAGAGAGGGACAGCAGACGTCAGGTGCGCTGCTCAGGCTACTTTCGCGCGCCGGTGTCCTGCTCCAGTTGCCCTCAAGCAAATTGCGCGAGCCACCTCGGGACCCTGGAGCCGAGCGGGGAAGCAGGGATCAAGTGCGAACCCCAGATAAACAAACACCTGTTGAGTGAGTAAAGGAAACGCGCCGGGAGCCCGCGCCGACTTCTGAGCTTTAGCACAGATGTGCGCACAGACACCCCCTGCACTCACACGCTCAATCCCGCAAATGTTCCAGCTGCTTGCACACGCATCAAAGGCATCCGAGTAGGAGTATCGGCCTGAGAGGCCCCCATCCCTGTTTGCTGGGGACCAGATAGATCTATCTGAGCTGGGTGGCGGGTTGCTGTCTGTGGTGCTGAAAAACAAGTTTGCGAAATAGGGGAAGAGTGAGAGCAGCAGCCACAGACCCCGGGGTGGGAAGACTAGCGGAGATGAGGGGCAGGGGTGGTCAAACTTGGCTCCGATCTCTGACTCTGGACCCACTGGACCGTCTTGCCTCCCTCGCCTTCCCCACTTGCTCAAAGTTACCCCGGCAGCCCGCCGCTCACCTGGGAGTCAGGGCTTGGGAGAGTCACTGGTCATGCGCCGGACTGCGCTCCCTGCACCGACCGAGCAGCTTTGGCCCCGGCGTCGAGGAGGCAAGCGCTGTCGCCTGCCACTGAGCCCAAGCGCGGCGAGTGAGAGACCGGGAAGGAGGCTGCGAGCAGCGCGCCTGCGGGAGATTGACAGGCGGGGCGCGGTGACGTCAGGCGCCGGGTTCTGGGTGTGAGCGGATTACTGGCCTCAGCCGCCTGGCCTATCCTCCTCGGCCTCCCACCACCCTTCACAGAGGCATCTCAGAGTTCTCCCGAGAAAGGGGGAGAAGCCAGAACCGACCTCTCCAGTCCAGAAACCTCCAGAAATGGGATGGGGTGAGAGGAGAGGGAGAAAGAAGTGAAGACCCCGAGGCCAGGCCAAGAGGGTGAGCTGGAAGAAGGGGAGGGATGAGTGGCAGTAAGACACACAGCAAAGGACAGAGCCAAAGATCACGCAAGGGAAGTGAAGAAACCATGGAGAAGGGAAGGTTGGGACAGGGGCGTCTGAGCGGAGACAGCAGCAAACCAAAATTTAACAGTGGCTTGACAGACAAAAATGACTTGGAGAAAGAAATTCTGTTTGTAAAATCATATTTATGGTATTTGTGTCGGTTGAGTAGAACCAGGGGACAAATAAAAAGGACACTTGGCACAAGGTTTCTTCTCCCCAAGATTACCTATGCAGTTTTTGCTGCCGCTGTCTATCTTAAACCAAGACATCTGCTCCAAGTTTCTTGATTTTAGTAGCTAGTCGTGCCCTTGGAACTTGCTCTTTAATTAAAAACAAGGTCTGTGTCTTGTTAGAAAAGAAGAAAACAGCAAAATGTGATTTACTTTCCTAGCAACAGACTTTGCCCTGTTAATTGGTACCTTATAAAACAAATTACAGGACAAAAATAGTGATAATTCAGCTGCATCAGACTTCAGTAGGCAGGAGTTTTATTTTCAGCCCAGATAAATCATCGTTTTGGTTTAAAGGTGTTTTGTTTTGTCAGTAAAATATAAGCATTGGTCTTTCTCTTTTTCAATCAGCCAGAATATCCAGTCATTGTACTTGTGCCAAAACTAAAGCAGTTGACTCTGTGTAAGGTGCTAAAAGAAATGGTTGTGCATTGCCATTGTAGCACTGAACTGAGGCCATGGCAGTGTGGCCTTTAGAGACAACATGGTTTGAGCAAAGGGAAAGTACACTCCTGCCCCTCCCCTTCCCCCTGCTTGGTTCACTTTGCCTCCATCTCCAGTGACAGAGAGAGAGAGAGAGAGAGAGAGAGAGAGAGAGAGAGAGAGAGGTCCTCAGATTGCCCATAGTCTGGGGGGATGAGGTTACCTGTGCTGATCACTTTTAAACACAACCCAGACCACTCCAGTTCTGTCTCAGTGCAGCTGAAGGTAACTAGAAGACGGTGTGTGCATAATGCAGTTCGGTTCTTTAGTGCAACAACTAGTGTGGGACTATAAAATGAGTTTATACTCCATTTGAGGGATTTCAAAAATTAACACACACTATGATTTTCATGAATTTAAAACTTTACTGTTTATAAGTTCCTGAAAAGAACTATTTTGGATTTCAGTGCAAGAGTATCATCCAAGAGCCAGCACTGTTGTTTCGGAACTTTAGAGTGAATTGTCAAACTACCACAGTAGCATTTTCCAAATGATCAGATCAGACACAGGCCCAGGCCAGGAGGTGTGTACACCACTGTAACCTGTGGACTATATGCATCCCAAGATAGAGCAATAAACTCAGGCTGACATAAAAACATAAACTGAAACATGATATATTTTTTGTAATTCTATCCCATGGTTCTTTTTAAAAAAGTATTTTATTTATTATTTTATGTGTATGAGTGTATTGCCTGCATGTATGTAAGTTCACCCATGTCTTGCAGTGCCCTCAGAGGTCAGAAGAGGGTGTTGGACTACCCTGGAACTGGAGTTACAGATGGTTGTTAGCCACCATGTGGGTGCTGGGAATCAAACCCAGGTCCTCTGCAAGAGCAGCCAGTGCTCTTAACTGCTGAGTCATCTCTCCAGACCCAAATTCCATGATTCTTAAAAATGCGCTTTGTAGATAACAACATTGTGACTCAGTGTCAAAAAGTTGGACATGCCTGGAAGGGGAAACCCAGGTATATTCTGGTTTCACAGACCAGAATATGGAAGAATGCTCCTGAACACAACCACCTACCCCCTGCCCCAATCTCTGTTTGGACATTCTTTGGCTTTCATCATTGTCAAAAATGAACTTTTGGTTTTCAGGGGAAGACAACTCATGTAGTATCACACATGCATGCAGGTGGAAGGCTTGTAGACAGGCTTTGGGTCACACAGTTACCTTTCTCAGATGCGGATCTTGAGAGCAGACAGGGCACATTCTTTCAATTCTGCATCTCTCTTGTGTTTGTTCATCTCTTGGAGGGTAGCTGGGAAAGAAAAAAAAGGCATGCGATTCTTTGTATGCATGGATATTAGATGCAATTCACTGCCTATCTTGCCCATTGCTCATGTAAAAGAGTCAGTCCTTCCAGTGGTTCCTAGAATATTCAGCTTGTAAACAACATACTGTTTTCCACCCGACCCCATATGGCTTATGGAAAGAATATGGTACCTGACCTAAAGCTAGACAAGGTCAGCCATTCTTGGCTCCACTATTGACCAGATTCTTTTCTCTTGAAAACTTTGACACCATAAAAATGGTCTATCAGTATTGGGCTCTGGATCTGATATATAGCAATAAAATCAGGTCTGGAGCACTCATATTGGACTTTATATGCAATATACAGTCAGATGAAGCCAGTTGGAATGAAAGAACGAAACAGATCTGTGAGCGGAATACAGATGAAGGTGAGCCAAAGATAGAAGGGACGGTCTCAGCCCCTGAGGGTCTGGTTTCTAGTTCTTTTGAGTTCAGATCTCTGGAAACCTTAAAATGTCTCTACCACAGATCTTCCTAATTTTTAACACCTTGAGTGGATTTTGATTCTGTTGACTGAGACCTGACTAAAGCACTCAGCTAAGTGTAGTATCCTCATGTTGGCATGTCTTGCCCTGATCATTTGGGGGGGTCTGCAAAATTTGATTTGTGACTCATAGTCACAGGTTAAACTCTATCACCAGTGGCAAGCCCATTATGGCTCTGGGTCTTCGTATTCTGGCGCTTACCAGGCATGAACACGAGGAACATTTTTCTGTCTGAGTTGATATCTAGGAATTACAATCCGTTGACCCTATCTTTCTCTGGCACCCATTAACCTCTTTCCCATCTCAGCCCATGTTAGCAGTTACCAACCCTGGCTTCATGTTAGAATTACCTGGAAAGCTTGTAAAATTCACCTGTCTGTGAACCCCTCACCCAGAGATTTTGATTTATTTGATAAGAAGTGATGCTCAGGTATTTTATTTTCCACCTCTAAAGACTCTAAAACTATTGAGAATATTTATCAAAGAATCATACAATATCCCTGTCAGTTTAGTGTGCAGTGAATTCCCTGAGATGGTACTTTGCAGTTTGGAATAGGTGCAATAAAGGAATTTTGGCAGCGATTCAGCTGCGTCACTCAGTGTAATGTCAGGTTTAGCTCACTAACCTAACCTCTTCTGCAGACATTTAGTTTCCACTTTCACATAGAACCTCCTTTCTGTCCCATGATGAAAGCTGACACTTGGTTCTTTCTTCACCTGAATGAACTCAGTGGCCTCATTAGAAAGTATTAAGCCCTGCCCTACATCTCAGTCACTTCACAGTTATCCAAATCAGTTTTTTAAAAACAAAATCAGAGCTGCAGTTATCCAAGCTGTTTAGAAACTCATAAAACTAAGTTGGAAAGACTCATACTAGCAATTCTCTGCTTTCTCCCTCTCAGCACAGATACATAGGCAGGCAGGCAGGCAGGCAGGCAGGCAGGCAGACAGACAGACAGGCAGAGAGAGAGAGAGAGAGAGAGAGAGAGAGAGAGAGAGAGAGAGAGTGTTAGTTCCTAGAGCTAAGCAATACAGTTCTTTCCTGGAAACTATAAATATACGAGTCTTGCTGGTGGTACACAGGTCATTGTGCTGACAGGTCAAGAAGACACTGGATGCTTGATGAAATACTAGAGGTCATTTATTGGGAAAGAGAGCTCCTGAAAGAAATAAAACTCACAAAGGGCCACCGAATCCACTGCATTGTTTGTCCACATCCAGGGTGTTGGACGGAGTATAATCTTTTGGGGACAAATGCTGAGATAGAGGAATTTGATTCAAAATGTCTCCTTTTTCTCTGCCTTCTTCTGTGCCCAGGCATCCTATCATCCCCAGGCACTGATGATATGTCATAATGTGAGGCACCTATTTCCCCATCATGTCCAAACACTCAAGAATGCCCTTTCTTTGAGCCAGGTGAACAGTCTCCACTGTAAAAAGTTGTTATCCTGGAAGGTCAGTATCACCTCATGGTCCCCACCAAATTTATATTAGGAGGGAGTGCGCCAGTGCTGTTGTTGTGTGTCAGCTTCGGAACCATGTGCAAAGCGGTTGAGAGTTTGCTTAATTAAGCTGGAAAGTAATATTTTTTGTTTTTTGTTTTTTTATATGAGAAACAAACCAGGAAAAATAATGGCACTTAAGATCATGTGGTTTATTTTTATAAAGAGTAAAAGTAACGTTAGTGAATTGCATGAGAAAACATATGATCTTACAGCTTGGGTTACTGAATACTGACTATAAGGATGTTGATGAGAAAGTTGCTTCTACTGGTATATTTGAAAAGAAACACAGAAGCAGCCTTCAGATCTACCTTGCCCTGCACTTTGAGGTGCTTTGACACTCAGTGGGTTCATATCCATTATCTCATTTTATTCTTTGAAACAATCACATGGAATTAGAAGTTATTATCTTTGCTGCTGAGGTAACTGAGGTTCAGCAAGGGGAAATGAGTTGTCTCAATGCACACAGGGCACCAGCAGGAAACCTGAGTCTGGACTGGGCTCCTTTCATTTGGTACTAT